CACTGCTCATGATGTCGTGAATTTTGTGAAACGGACCGTTATGGCCTACATCTAAATTTTGCTGGAGCCTCAGAACTCCAGAGATATATAGGCGATAGCAGTTCTTCCTCCCAAAAACAATTCGATGATAAGGCAATATTTGTGCCCAGGTTGGACCTACCCATCATAGTGTGCTTCTACTTTACCTTTACGGTTCTCGATCATCCTTTTTATAGAGCAAGACCGAAACACGCACCAGCACCCGCACCGATATTCAACCAATTGATCGGTCTGTTGTGAAGAATGGTTGTAATGATTCACGATAACTCGAATTGAATGGCAATGGCGAGAATGCCCGGGATGGTTGGAATAGCTGAAAGTGTGGGGATGGGATGGGATGGAATAGTTAGAACAGGAATTTATAAGGCTGGGAAAGCTCGGTATATAGGATAGGAGTCTACCTGTAATCTTAGAGATGAAAGAATAGAGATCGATCAAGCATATTTTGAAAATCTCATGCTTACGGGACTACCTTTTTTTGCTTCTTTTCTTCAGGTTTGTTGTATTAAGCGCAGATATACTGGAAGAGAACCATAATATTTTGGTAACTTGAACTGGTATGAATTTGAATAACTCTTAGAGAAGAAACAAAAGGGAAAGACCTAATACCCGAACATATATAGGGAACAGCAGTGATCTCACCCATTATTGGATGAAACCTGTCTCGCATCATTGCATCCCCACGGAATACGCCTCAATCCCAAAGAGTATGAAGATACTCAAACTAGACAACTTAGCCACCCAATAATCAAGACGCAATGAAAACCGCCATACTACAAAAGGAATGCAACCCTATATGGAGAATGATGCAGGGAGGTTATGCGTAAGAGATAAAATAAGAGGAGGTTTATGAACTACGAAAGACAATATATTCAATAAGGTCAGTGGTCAAGGGGATGAGTGGTTGTTCATGACTGCGGTATGGACCCCCGAGTGCTCAGCAATAATTCTTACTCCTGTCACCTCTCGCTCCTCTGAAGCACTACCGTGAGTTTCGCGTACACCCTTAACTTTCTCTGTGAACTAGCCCATATGGTGTTCCCTCCAGACAGGTGTCCATAATTTACTGTGTTCTCATTCCAATACTTCGAAATTAGACAAAAAGAGACTGGGCTCAGAGTCCCAAATCACCCTAGTGGGGTTGCACGTTTACTGTAATGCCTAACAGCGAAAAAACGACCTTTTCAATTGTCAAAATCATTTCTATTTAGTGGCAGGGAAAAAGAACACTACACCGTACAGCATGGATTCACTATCTCTACACCGGGACGCGAACCTCAACCCGCGACTTGTTGCCGTTGCAACAAACGAGAATCAGCCAACTTCCTCGCTCCAAAATCCCCTTAAGATATGATAGAAGACAAATTTGATGCTATAACTCCACTACGGTGGCTAAGAAGTCAGACACTTCGTATAGGAATTGCCACAATACGTGTCCGGCTTCGACTTGGCCGCGTGGGTAGGGAGCAGCTTTCTTGCGAATCTCACTCTACCGTATTGGCCCATGCCTTGTCCGACTGTCTTAGTCCCCTTTCCAGTTTAACCAAATATAGCAGTACCACCTCAGCAGGGGCAAGCGAAAAAACCGGGAGCAATGGAAATGAACCCCACAGCTGAAGAAGACCCCCGCTCTCACCGGCCCCTGCAAAGGCTATAGAGTAACTCGAACAAACGAGAAAATTGTCGAATCCCTTTACGCACTCCCCCTCCGGGGGTGCTTGAACTACTGGTCCAGTTAAGCAACCTAGTCATTTTATCTTGCTCACGTCCAGACGCTCTTGCCAACAAAACCACTGCGAATAGAATATTCGTTGAGCCAGCTAGCAAACTCGAAAACACCACAATCTGCTAGGTACCGTAATGAGACGCTAAGAAATCGGAAAGGTAGATTAGCTCGATGTCAATGATATTGCTGCCGGACGAACAGTAACTCGTATACGTGTGGCTGCCCAGCCTATCCAAAGATGTCTCACGGGCTGCGGTGGTACATTTCCATGCGCTGCAAACCGCACGCGGAGACCCGATCCGCCGAATACATCCGTCTCCTTCGCAAGAGCAACGCTAGAAGGGATGGGCGGATCCACAATCCGCTTTTGCTCGACGACATGGAACTAGAAGAACATGTTAACCACAACGACAAAGGATATATTGACTGATAAAGAGGGCTGATAACTCACTACATACGAGCACCCCTCAACCCCAGTAGCCGTGTGAAGTCGCAAAGAGACAGGAGGGAGAACTACCCGCCCAGAGTAAATCGGCCAAACCTCGCTCCCATAAAAAGCGACTCCACAATAACGAACCCTATCCAGACCCCCACCATCCTGAGCGGAAAACGCCTCCCATACCCACAATGGGCTCTAAACAAGTGTGGGGTACCCCAGCGAGGATAACGAATGTGGGCAGGGGCAACGGCCTCAAGAACCGATATTGTGATTTCAAAAAAATTCTTAGAAACCCGAGCAAGGCCGTTAGTTTTAGGGGTCTAGAATCATCCTTCAGACAGAGTGTTACCCTATAGTGATATTTCTTCTCCTCAATGACTGCTCGAGAACAACTTTCCAGGACACGAGGGGCACCTACTCAACTTCATCCACACCCTCCAGGACTTTTTGAAAGCCGCAATATGGACTTTGGCGGCGACCTCGACACCTTTGAGTGTATCGTTCGTTGAGCCCCCTGTTCGTTGACCCACTCCCATGTTGCAGCCAGAACAGGCGGACATTCGTGCCGGCTTGGTAATAGCAGGTTGACCCGCCAAGCGTTGCGTACCGCAGGTTAATCCCTGGGTAAACACCTATTAACTATTTTGCCAAGGAAATTAACAGTAACTATCATGCCCCCGACGTTCCCCGGCTTCTATCTTATCATGCAAGTACCAACAGTTTGACTTATTCCAACTGGTATCTCCATAAAAACCCGAGATATTCCCGTCTCCCCTCCACTGTGCAAAGAGCCATCCACTCTATCATCCAATAGCGCCGTAATTCTCACAGGAGAGCGGTTGAAAATCCTTCGAGGGGAAACTGAGCAGTATCCTCTTGGCGAAAGCACTATCCTCTCGGCGAAAGCACTCGGGCTACAGGTCGATAATGGACTTAGGGAGAATAACGTTTCTAGAACGGACAAAGGCGATATAATGAGGATAGAATGTTATAGAAAGCATCCAGTCAAATCATGGCCTCAGAAAAGGGAGCAAAACTCGGCAGAATTTTATCGCGCAGCAACAGGGAAAAAAATATTTACGTCCACCAGGGACAGTGCGACCCCCCTAGCAAGCCAGGACCTGAAGGGCAACAAAAATAAAAACCACAAACCCTCACGAAGTTAGCCTCCTGCCCCCCCCCCCCATTGTATGCTTGCGATGGACCCCGAATAAAAGGCATAGCGGGGATAACTGGCTTAGGTAGGAATAACGATCTTCACAATAGACCGAAGTGAATAAACATAATGTAGAAAGAATGAATCTAATCGAATGACGTAAAAAGGGACATCACAGAGCCAACTAAGCTTGTCACCAATCAGATTTCCATCATCCTCTCGCACAGCGGCCAGAAAGATAATGGAAAAAAGTTCGCGTCAACCGGAGGCAGTGCAATACCGGCGACACAGTGGGACCAAGCATGGCAAGCCAGAGACAGGGTCCCGAGGTAAACAAAAATAAGTATAATCAAAAAAAGGTTCCATAGAACCGTTTCAGAGATTAAACTGAAAAGAACAGATACTACACTTGATCTAAGCCTGTAGGGGTATTAGCAATAGGCTCAAAAAGATTAAGGAAAAACCAAAGCCCAGAAAACTTAGCGATCAAGTGAACCATTGAGGCATCTCAATGATTCACCCGCCAAAAAGTTTTCGAGTTTTTGGTGTTGAAAGTGGAAATTGGGGTGTACTGACCAAAAGGCAAAGAGAGCTGGCGAGAGAAGAGGGGGGCGGGGTGGGACGGTCTTATATAGTGTTTTTTCTCTGCCAAGCGCCAAGAGTATTTTGGCCGACACCTAAGACGAATGAGGAATGCCTGGGGGGGCCAGGGCTCAGGGCTCAAGGCTGAGGAGGCTGGGCGACATGCACCCGCCATCCACTGTCATGGCCAGTTTGCAGTGGTTCTGCTTTACCGGAGCTAGAGAAGAATGAGCGAAGTGGAGGTAAAAATGCGAATCATGCGGTGTCGGATATAAGGTGTCCCGGGAACAGCAGTACCGACAGCACCGTAGACTCTGCCTGAATTACTGGTATAATTGGAAATACTGTATCATAGCAAACAACGCCCGGGTTAGGAAGCCCGAAAGGCTCAAAACCAGGCGAGCACAGGAGGCTGATGGCGAGGGTTGTAGCTCGAGTGATGTATTATGAAAGGTTTTCTACTTCGTGTTGCATGGGAGGTTTCCGATTCTCCACCCCTGTTTCGCCAGCAAGTTTCGTTCGCCCAGGCTATACCGCCTCTGGAATACACTGTTCCTTCTCTAGGTGTTTTGTCTCTAATTGCTAGGATCAACGATGGTGGATTTACAGTAGCGATTTTTTATGGTACGGTACTGGTACGATAAAAGGGCTAGATGAAGCAACCGACACCAGTGGAAAACAGGACTCGACAATCGCCAAAGGACTTCACCATGAGAGGTTAAGGCATTTTCTCGGTGGTGCCGGTATTCACTCTGCGCTCACTTGAACCTACGTATTCATTATAGTTCACCATGAGCCTCTGCTCCCATAGCAGCTACTCGAACAGTACCCGTGCTGGTTGCCCCATCCAGACCTTTGCTGTGGGGCGCATATATGGCCTGCGAGTACATTGCGGTTTGAAGGGTGTTGATGAGAAAGCATATATATACATATTACTCGGTAAATTCATCAAACGAACCGGCTCCCCGAAATCCTAACCTTGACAGACACTTATATGGTGCAGTATCAGACGCAGGAACGGGACACCGAGTACCCGGTCATCAAGTATCAAAGAAGCTCAATCATTCACAAAAATGTAATAATGCTTGAATGCAACGCAAATTTTCCCTGAACGCCCACGCCAAGATGCCTCCCTTTGTAAATAAAATAAAGCTTAGTACAAAAGAAATTGGTATGACTAGCCCAGTACCGACTCCCGCTCTATGACGGACTCATCAAATTTTACTATCGCTTAATTAGCATAAATCATCATCTAATCTAATACTTGATAGGCGCAATACTCAAAAACACTGTCTTTGCTGGTAACTGCTCCGTAGGGACACTATGAGCTGTGACTCTCCCCGGAAAAAGACAACCGTCTAAGACAGCTTCAATAATTCCTGCGACGAATGCTGCGCAGTTCAGCTGTGACATTTCCTTGGGAACCGATATGTAAGAGTTAACCATAGGATCATTGTCGATGAGCATATATTCATCCTCATTGTCTCGAGATTTCTCCAACCCGTCCGCCGGTTTATTGAAGATAGAGCGGTAGACTGTAGTAGTTATGAACTGGAGTATCCCTAGGATGCGTGTCTCGCGCTTTGCACTACGGCCCTCACGCCAAAGTAAAAGTTCCAACAATCGCTGGCCAATTGAGTAACCGTGGAGGTTGAGCCTAAAACCTTGTCAGCCAGGATTCTTGTTGCATTTTTTTTCTGTTTAATTTGGAGAGTGACTTTTTCTCAAGGTCTGCAATACCATTTACTCGCTTTTGAGCATATTGCACCATCTCTCCGAATAGGAATGCGAAACTGGCTTTGGAAAGCTCAGACCTCTGGGACCGGTTAAGGTGGCGGTCATATATGGATTTGCGTGAGGAGGAGTAGCGGAGATTGGAGGAAGTTGATGAAGAGAGTGTATGCTTCAGCGGAGGGGTTGATGTTGGGGTCCCTTGTTGAATAGAGGGGTTGGGGGAAAATGGAACGAAGGGGGAATTAAGGGAATCGCCGCGTTGCATGACTGTTGATGAACTATATTATTCGATGTTTCTCGATGGTAAAGAGGTGAGGAATGATGCTCCAATGGAGTTGTCGAGGCAAGCGGTGTGAATAATAAGAGCCGAACGTTGCCCTGCGCTTTGGGATATCTAGGGTTAGTTAAACAGTTGAACCTTCAGGGACAGGACGGGCGGAGTTACCCGGCAGCAAGTCATTCTCAGCGCAACCCGGAGTTCAACGCCCGTCTTTCCTGTTCCCCCGGCGGTTCACAAGTGTAGCAGTCTTTTTCTCTCTTTCTTTCTCTCCCCCGAAAAATAGACTCTCACCTTGCTCCCTTCTACCATCCCACAGCTACCTTCAACTTCGTGCATCCATTAAAAACTCAATTTTTCAGGCTAAAAGTTTTTCCAATTCCACCCCCTTTACTGCTTCATAACCCTTCCAGACAGCCTCACCATCTGAATCACAACAATGACATCCCAATTTATTGGTCTTCAGGTTCTCTTGAGTCTCAACGACCCTGCTCGTACTCGAGTCCGTGGACTCGTTGCCGACGTCAATGGACCTGAACTGACACTTCGCGACGGTGCGAGATTTATCCTACCTAAACGCTGAACCGGAATCATTTCTGACAAGGTGCTCATATTAGTGCTTTTTGTGGATACTGGCTATAGGACTCCTGGCTATACAGTTAACGGCTTAGATATCGAGGACATTGATATCATCCCCTCCGAGACCAATGGCTCTACCCCTCCTATCCCTCCCCAACCGCCTCACCCACCTCACTTCCAGGCCCCTCCTGCTCTATCCACTATCCAACCTCCACCACCTCCGGCACAGGTTCAAGCGTACTCCCAACCCCTCTCCCAACTATCAAGCAATCAGTTTTCCCGACCAGCGACAGCCGTGCATTCTCCACAGATACCAGCTACCTCGGGTCAGTTTATTGATCCGGCCATTATATCAATATCGCAGAAGCCAGAGGCCAACACTATACCAACCGCTCAGGCCTCTGTGCCAAATGTTAAACACAAGCCGAAGAAACCGAGTTACTCTACCCCACCAAGAATGGGGACTGCTGGCTCGTCCATTCTCTCAGCTGCCGCCGCTATAAGACCCCCGAACCCACCACCATTAAAGCGCAACGGCTCGTCGCAAGGGGTCCCCGTAGCTCCTATCAACACCCTTACGGCCCCAACAAGCTCGGCGCCTTATCCTCTTTCAGCTAGCGCTGCTCCAGATCCCTCAAGACCCATTGGACTCGGCCATTCCCTACCAGTACGGGGTCCTGTTTCGGCATCTGTGCTCCAAATGCCTTTTGGTGATCTCTCCCTTCGAGAGGACGTCGCTGCTGAATCAAGTGCTTTCGATGAAACCGACGATGCTGCTAGCAATGTAGCGATGCCACCCACTCCTTATACTCGGCCGCCTTTTCCTAGAAGACGCTCTCGTCGTAGAAAAGCTCAAACAAGGAACAATCAGCAACGCCCACTCCTCGAATCAACTACCCAGGAGGACCTCACCCAGAAGGACACCGTGTCACATGGGATTTTGGGGGGTCCAATACCCCAAGCAACTAGTTCTGGCGGTACTGGTTTGCTTCAGCCAGGTGCTATAAATTCTGACAAGAGAAGGCGGCAAAGACGGAGAGATCGGCGGAATGATGGCAATTCAAATGCAGAAGAGGAAGGTTGGGCCACAGAAGATGTCAATGACTACAAAGCTAGGGAATTTGATTTTCAGGGGAACTTGGACCGATTTGATAAAGAGGGTTTATTCAACCAGATGAAGGTAATTTAATTCTGTGACTGTATCAACCTTTTGTTCACCATGCACCTTGGCCCTATTCTAACGCTTTGGCTCTAGGCTGAAGACACGACAGCGGACGAGGCACGTCTGGTATCCTTCAACAGGCTTCCACAACGCGGCTCCAATAGCAAGGCATCAGGTGTCCCTCGAAAGAATTACCATCACCACGAGAATGTCCTTGGCACCTACGCAAACGGGCAGCCGTTGAATGATCGGGATGGCTGGCCGAACGAATTTATCACAGAAGAGTCATCTGAGGACTCCGAGGATGAGCTCGGCCGAGGTCGTGGAGATGGCGCGGCTGCAGATAGTGGAAGAAGTAGCAGAAGGGGCATGTCTCGTCGATCACAGAGTGGTCGTCGCCGAGGCGCAAGACAAATGAGCACAAGTAATCCATCGATGAGATCCCTAGAGAATATTCATCATCAGCCATCAAATGGTGGAGGCCTTGGACAAACTCCAACTAACAAGCCCGGAAAACCAACGTTACGGCTAGCGCCCAGTGGCAAACTTTGCCCCATCGTCAGCCCACTGCAAATGTTAGATGTGGAGAGAATTGCGGAGGTCGAGCTTTGCCTCACAGACGATATGATGACAGAAAATGCTGGTCGGGCTATTGCGCAGGTAGTCATTCAGGCCTTTGGAAAACGGATATCTGCATCAAACCATAATGCCCTCCCGGTAGTCCTTGTCTTTGCCGGAAATCATAAAAGCGGGGCACGTGCGATAGCTGCGGGAAGGCACTTGAAGAATCATCATGTTCGGGTGATGGCTTGTGTTCTAGGTTTGGAACGTGAAGATGGGTTGCTAGAGCATGTCAGGAGGCAGCTCAATGTTTTCAGAAACGCTGGCGGCAGGGTAGCACGGTGGGAAGAGCTTGCGAACAATTTGAAAACCCTCGATTCACCGCCGGAGCTGATAGTTGATGGCTTGCTGGGCATTCATCTTAACTTTGAAGATCTACGAACAGATCAGCAGGCTACTGCATTTGAGTTGGTGCAGTTTGCAAATAAGAGCAAAGCAAGCGTATTAGCAGTTGATATACCCAGTGGTGTGGACGGGAGCACCGGTTTGTTATTCATCCCACATACCTCTTAAGTATGCTAATATCAGTTATAGGCGAAGTTGCACAGCTTGAAGGTACAGGTCGCCTACATATGAGAGCAAAATGGGTGGTCTGTATGGGCGCACCAAAATCTGGTCTGCTCAATGCGCTCGTTTCTGGTGTAGGTGCTAGCTGGAACCTTTATGTTGCTGATATCGGCATTTCCAATACTGCCTGGAGGAAGTATGGAACTCGTCGGCGACACGGCGTCGAATTCGCTGCCGAATGGGTCGTCGAATTGGAGTATCACGGCGCACCTTCCGCTTAGGTTAATACTCGATTTTTTCCCCTAAAATCGCCGAGCACCTGTCTCTTGACCTTACTCGTTCCACCCTCCTCACCGATTCGATCTCATATCCGGAGTTTCTTTTCATGGCTTTTCTTCTTTTCCAGATGGCTCGTTTGGTTTGGATTTTTATATTCTTTGTCTTGCTTCATTTGCTGTCACCTTCACCACTTGTATAACTAAACCTAATATCTCTCTTTCCTCACCCCCATCAATCCATCGAGAAGTGGTGTGTTTTGACTTTGGAGTAAGCGGGGGCTCTAGATATCACTGTATCTTTATCAGGGTGGGATCAAAAACTAGAATCGGATGTTTTGTTTTGTTTTGTTTTCTTTCCGGAGCAATAGCGTGCCATCATAGAGTACAGAAAAAGCCACACTCATGTATCTTAAAGGGGTAAACTGCAAAGCTCCGGCAGTGTGCCGAATATGAAAATTTCAATGCCTTAGCTATTAGATGCCATACCTATGGCCATGTGACTTGAATGGGTATGATACTTTGCTTTCAAAAAAAAATTTGCGCAGGTGCGGTACAGATGTAGGCAGTACAGAACCTACTGACGGGATGTTGCCAGAATTGATATCATGATATGATGCCAATGGATGCCAACGTATGATACCACTATCATACAAATAGCAATACGCATAGTCGGGACATATCCAATACTAGTCCCCGAGTGCCGATGTTGACATTATTCCACACCATGTTTCCCCATAAGGGTAAACTTTCCCATGTTATGGAGGGGAGCACAGCGCTTGGAGCCCACATGCACAGGTACTGTACATGTGGATAGCAAAGTCGATAGCTATCAGGAAGAATCAACACCATAACCATCTCACATGCAGAAATGCTCATATCAGAATATGGATATATATAGCAAGGGGTGGGGGGAGAGAAGCCTGAATTGTTTGGGAGGGTTTTAGAAGGTGTTCATAGAGTATCACTCGATTGCGAATTAGCTGTGGGTGGGTGCTCCACGAGAAGCAAGTGAGTTCCGGCCCAGGAGGGGGGGTTTAACCGTGCTCACCGCCTAGAGGGATATAGTCTAGTGTGAGTATGAGTTCGCCCCCTCCTCCTCCTCCTCCTCCTGCGAATTCCGGTATTTTTTATTTTTATTCTTATTTTTAACCTTTTTGTCCACCCGGAGAGGCTGAGCTCACAGCACTCCAATACGTTTTCCCCCCTTGTCCGATTTCTAGAGAGTGATGGCACATCACGGCTTGTAGCATGTATTGTACTAAGTTGGTACGAGGTAGGGCGAGTTATTCGTATCCAAGACGGACCTTCCGCTCCGCCCGGTTCTCACTTAGCGTCTGTGGATGAATGAGTGAAGGCCGGTGGCAAACCGATCCCCGAAAGAACGAATGAGAGCCAAGTAGTCTACGAGTACTGCTGTATTGTATACTTGTACAGTACACGCACACGTCGATCGCGGGGTCCGTTCCGCCGACTCGGGCACGAATAGAATAGGTTGGGGCGGTGCGGATTTCACGCCATCATACTGCGATGGAATCCGAATCTGCCAGCCCTCTATCTAGTCCACCGGTTGCATGATAATTTATAGAGAGACGTGGTAGGTAAAACAACCCGGGACAAATACAAACAAAGTTCCCTCCTCCGGCCAACGAATGCGGACGGACACACGCAAGCCCCATGGAGTGGCGGTTCCCAACTATATAAGCCACGGGTAGCACGAGTGGCTGTGCCGAGCACCCCTGTCGAGTACCGTAGCGTAGACTACGTGGCGACGGGCAAAACTGTTCAGCCCACCCACCGCCAGACGGGAAGCAGTATACAATAATAGCAAATAAAGTTTCCCCAAGAGCACAGCCGTTCCCGTTAATAACGCTAATCACGGAATATCACTCGTATGTGCCGATATCGTGCTCGAGTACAGTACACGTACTGTACACAAACACAAATTTTCATATGCATTCATTCCCGCCATTTTTAAAATTATATAATTTTTTTCTTCTTCCCTCTTCTCCACCCCGTCTCAACACGGTGGCATTAATCACTAGCACACATACATACATGTATCATACTTATATATTCCAAGAGTCAAGTTTGGAGCTTGGTTTTTTTGGTTTTTTTTTTGGTTTTTTTTTTTCGCAAGGTCCAGGTCAGGTCGGTGGAGCATGATACTTCGTACCGGCCGGCATGGTAGACGATCGCTCACGCGCTGGGCAATAGGCAATATCATACAACAAAAGACTTGTCCTATCCGGTAGAACCCATCCCCATCCCGCATTTGCCTTGTATGATATTATGTACAGAGTACTTGTACTCTCTCTCCCCGTAAACGCCAGAGCGACGAAAAGAGAAAGGGAGAGAATGATTATGATTATGTCAAATTTCTTTTTTTCTTCAAACCTCACGGGTATGAATTATTATCATAGCACGGTAGTACCGTACTCGTAACTAACTTTTTTACGCACCGTAGACTAGGTCTCAGATCCGAACCTGACATGACATGACATGACAAAGACTTCCCATCATTCCCTCCCATGATTCAACCGGACCTGTAGTGTAGGGTAACACTCGACTCGACTCGTCCCAACTACCGTACCGTACGATACACACCGTGAGGTTGGTGGGGGGGGGGGGGGGGAAGTGAAAGCCTGAATCAACCCCCCCCGTAAATTTTAGCAACAAAAAAGGGGGGGAAAGATAGAAAGGAACTGGGCTTACAGCCTCAACTCAACACACCCACCACCCATTTTCCTTCGTCTTGCGCCTTACATACATACAACAGTACTCGTACCGACAAAGTGAATGTGCAGTGCAAGTGCAACCAATCACTTTTTTTTTTCCAAACCTCGAAAGAAAATAATAAAATAATAAATACCCGCCACACACATTCTTTTTCACCCTTACAGTCATGTATTATCGTCGACCAGCCAGCCAGAGAGCACGTGGGATAACGCGCGGTTAAACTTATTCCAACGGGAAGGCTCGGAAGGCTCGGAAGGTATCATACTTGTATCATGGACTAAAAAACTCTGCAGTGGGTATCATAGGTCACCTCGTTTGTTCAACTGGAAGGAGCAATACCGAGTGACGAAACATGACTGTGGTTTTTTTTCTTTTTTTCATCCCTGATGGCGCCTCCTCACACCGACCAATTATCCCCCATCCCCCCCCCGTCTTCACATGCCAAGCCCCGAAAAGAAAGAAAGAATGAATGAATGAATGAAAGAGAGAAGGGTACTTGCCGTACTTTTTATGACAACGTGTCCAGAGCTCCACCTTACCCTTACTCGTACAAGTACCTTGAACCCGATGAACACAAGTGAAGTTTTTTGGACAACAGCGCATACAATTTTGATACGAGGATGTCGGTCATTGAAATGGGGTAGGGGTAGGGGTAGGGGGGGGGGGGTGGTTTTTCTTTCTTTCTTTTTCATTGTACGAGTAATGGTTGGTTGGCTTGGTCGGCTTGGTCGTGGATAAAAATGGCAAAAAATCATTATTTTTAAAATCCATTGGGTTCGTGGAAAAAGCTTATCCCAGAGCCGCACTTTTCTTTTTCTTTTTTTTTCTTTCTTTTCGGTGATATCGTCTTGGTACGGTATCTGCCTGTCAATCTATCAATATTATCATTATCATTGTTATTATTAAGGGGTGGTGAGTGAATTGATTACTGTAGTTAGTCGACACGTTCGGTTCGGGGAGGAAGTTTGTTCAAGAGATACAGACCCCGCAAAATTTTTTTTTTTTTTTTTTTTTTTCACTCCTCGTTCCCGAACCAAAAAGGGGAGAACAATGATACTCCTTCCGTTATCATTGGTACCGTATCCTTCCTTTACTCCGAGCTTGTTGGGGGCGCATGTGAGGTAGGTATCTAAGGCATCAAAAGGTGAACCCAGTCTTTGAACAAGGGCGTTTCGCGAGTACTGTCCTGTACCTGAATTATAAGATTATGATAGAGCTAACCCGAGGGCCGAAGGACGGTTGGTACATCCATACATACGTACGAGGGATGGTTTCCCGTTGACTGGCCAACCCCCCCTAATACTTAAAATGGGTGCGTGAGACAGGTTTTCGTTCATTCGTTCATGCCTTCACTCTGCGCTAATTACGCCCCATGAGATTACAGGGAAAGGCAGCAAGAGGAAGGAACGGAAAAGGATTTGATTCAAGTCGGGTTTGGATGGTAAGCGATGGAGGTTGGGGGTTGTTGTAATGGGTTGGGGGCGCAGTTTTACCGTGCCGTGGGCTGATACAATATATATATTATATATATATATCATACCTGGCATATCAAGTTATCATCACATTACCGTACCAACTTGACTCGCGAATATGCAAGCAAGCAAAGCAAGCGAGTAAGCCAGTACAGTACTTGTATGATAGACAACTTCAGTTTTCAGAAAACTCGGGAATTATAATAAACAAACAAACAAACAAACACAGTAAATAAATACCGTAACAGGTCAAGCCGAACCGACCGACCGACCGATAAATTCACAAGTTCCGTTTGGGCGAGCCGTGCGAGGTAAAAAGTTGGAAAAAAAGGTGGGGGGGCGGTTTCGATGGATGGGAAAGTGGGGAGAAATGGAAAAGGCTCAGACGGAGGGGTTTCATCACTATTATTATTATTATTATGATATTATGCGGCGTGTTGTGATTCTAAGTAAACCCATGATATTATATGCAGCCTTGTTTTTTTTGTATTGTGTGTATCGGTTTTCAGCTGTCAGTCATGAAGATGGTGACAAGAGATCATTGACCGATTGATTTGATTTGATTTGATTTGATTAAATGGGGGAAGGGAGGGATTACTAAAAAAGTTATGATACTGTAAGGTATGTATGGATAGCGAGACAGAGACAACAGCGCAGCACCACAATCTATGATAATCTGCTGTGGTTTTTGAAGCCCTTACTTATCACGTCCTACCTAAGCCACCGTCGCACACGAATTCGGCAAAGAAGAAGAAAAAAAAAAAAAAAACACGGTCCTAGGCAGTTTGCTTATCA